GCAGGATGTGACAGTGACTGCAAGCCCACCTTACTATTACCAGTTGACTTCAAGTTAATTCAACCCATGGTAACTCCATGTATACCAAGTAGAACTGTATACTCCATAGGGTTTTCAATGACAGATATTTTGGAAGTAGTCTGGCAGAACTCTCTTCTGAGGCTCCTCTGGGTGCACTTGAACTGCCAGCCTTTTGGTTAGCAGCAGAGCACTTACCTGTGTGTGGCAGGAAGTGGGAGGTGTCCTCAGTTGCCTCCTGGGATCCTTGTGGCTGGGGCTGGAAAACAGACACCAGTGACCCTTCCTGAGCAGTTACTTGTCAACCCAGCTGCCTCCAGGCCTCTGTGCTCCCTGAGTTCTCTGCCCAGAGATCGCCCCAAGGAAGTCGTTTTTAAAGCAGCGATGGGAAGTGTCAAGCCACTGAAAAATCTGTTCTCGACCCAAACACGACGTGCCACTGGACTTCATAAAACCATCAATCAAACAACCCCAATTGGAAAATAACCAACATGCAGTGAGTTATTCTTCCACCCGTTTATCCCTAATGGAAAATCAGCCCAAGATGGCCTGGTATTTTTTCTCACTCCCTAAAGTCGAATACATTAACCTTTTTTAAAGCTTTGGCATGAAGATGGCTTGTCATCTCGTAGCCCAGCCCCTGCCCAGTGGAAGCCTGGGTGGGGAAACACTGGGCCCTTGCCCATCCAGATCCTATTAAAATCTGCACCTGCTTGTTTCATGTATCTTTAGAGCAACTTCCTTTCCACCCAAATGTATCCATCTACTGTGGGCTTCCAGGAGGCCCAAGTACTGCTACTGAAAGCAGCTGAGTCAGGTCTGACTCCTGGTGACCCTGTGTGTATGAGTAGAATTGTGTTCTATGGCGTTTTTAGCTGCTGATATTTTTGGCAGAGTCATTGGGGAATGTGGATTGCCAGACTTTCTTCCAATGTGCCTTTGGGTGGATTCGAACCTCCAGCTTTCCAGTTCCTTTTTAAATAGTCAGGATTGTGTGATGGTGGGCTGCTTTTTTCATCTCTGTTGTATTTTCTTCCTCTCTGAAGTGGGTTCACCCATTTCTCAGGGTTCATCTTGAGATGAAAGGGAACCACCACCATACTGTGATCATTTCAGTGTTTGCTCCTGGCTGGGTACCGGCCTAGCACTTTACCTGTTTTAACTCCCTTTTATAGCATTGGTCCTATCATACTGATTCCTGGTCTAATCCCATTTTACAGATGGGGAAATTGAGGTACAGTGGGGTTAAGTGACACGGTAATGGGCCCAAGCACAGGAAAGATGGTGAGGATGGCGCATTCTGTTGTACATGGGGTTACTATGACCCAGTACCAACTCGATGGAACCTAATGACAACAACAAGGTTAAGTGACTTGCTGTGAGAAGCACATTTCCTCAGTCAGGCTTTCGTGTCCAAGCTCTGCATCCCCCATGTCATGGCATCTGGCACTTTGTAAAGCCATTGCTATTAAGTTGATTCTTACTCTTAGTGACCCTGTAGCTTAGAGTAGAAACCCTATTCCTTAGGGTCTCTGAAGCTGTCCATCTTTACTGAAACAGCCTCACCTTTCTCCTGCAGAGCGGTTCATGAACTTGAACCACTGACCTTGTGGTTAGCAGCTCAGTGCTCAATCCAGTTCACCAGAAGGTGTTCCTTTGGCAGTTACTAAATGCCAGTAAATGTTGTGTTTCCTTTCCTTTTCCCTTTGGGATGAACTTGCTCATCTCCAAAAGGCTTCAGAAATGATGTGCGCTCCCTTGGAGCCCCTGCATTCATTCAAACCCTGAGTTCTGTCAGTTCTCTGTTTACTTCTCTTCTTATGGTCCCAACGTACTCCAGATTCTTATGACTCTAACCACCTGTCCTTTATTATAACTGGACATTTTCTCTGCACCTGAGCTTTTCCTTTATTTTAATTCACCCTACCCATGTGATTAAGGAGCGCTGGATAAGCAATGGCAGTTCAAACCCACCAGCTGCTCCGTGGGAGAAAGATGAGACTTTCTGTTCCTGTGAAGACTGACAACCTTTGAAAGCGTATACAGGGTCGCTATGAGTCGGAGTTAACTTGATGGCAGTGGGTTTGGGACCCATGTGGTCAGACTGCCTGTGGCAGGCTTTCCATGAGGCCGTCAGGCCCAGGAGTGAAGAGTCTGGGCTCTGGAGCTGGATGATCCTGGTTATCTCCCTGACCAGATCTGTGGCCTCTATTGTCTCATCTATCAAATGGTCCTAGATGTGATCCGGGGATTTTATGAAACAAGCCAGACAAAGCACCAAGCCAAAAAACCAAACCCACTGCCATGAAGCAATGCTGACTCACAGGACAGAGGAGAGCTGCTCCCTAGGGTTTCTAAAGCTGTTGGTCTTTTTGGGAGCAGACTGCCTGCCTCAACTTTCTCCTATGGAGAGGCTCGTGGGTTTGAACCACCAACCTTGTGGTTAGCAGCCCAACACTTAACCCACTGTATGCCACCAGGGCTCCTTAGATAAAGCACAGTGCTGACTGTGGTCCCCAAGATATAGTAGAAGGTGTGGTTGCTAACATCGAGACCATCAAGGCCAAGGTAATCTTATCTCAATCCCTGTACGAGCTAAGAACGATGCTCACAGTAGTGCCAATTAACTGTGCTCTTTCAGACTGAATATCTTCCTGGAGACCAGTTGTCTCTGAAGCATTAGTTTTGGATCATGCACCCTGTCCAGCTAGAAGATGGGGATAAAAATAGGCCTTCTTCCTAGAGTCACTCTGAGGACCAATGTGATCAGGCTGATGAATACCAGAGCCCCACTGAAGAGCTCAGCAGCTAGCAAGTAATGCCATCATGTTGCCATCATGTCCTCTGTGGACACTGGCTTGCCTCCTGGCTCCTGCAGAGCTTGTTGGCCCAGCATCCTGTGATTGCCTCCCTGTCCACAATATGATTTCTTCTCCAATGATAACCCATCTTCTCCTGTCTGCCCAGATCTTTTGTGCTTTGCACCCCCACTGTACAGATGCATTTATTCATCCCCAATCTTCAGTCTCTCTCTCCTTCCCACCCTTCCAGCATCTCCATCCTGGAGGACCACAGAAGCTGGATATCCTCACTGGTCATCCTCCACTCCTAATTTCATCCCAGTAAAGCCTACTCTTCACAAGGCCCCAGAGGGAGACCATGAAACCCCCTTCTTAGAGGGGTTCCCAACAAACTGAAGAAAAAAAACTTTGTCTCTTCTCTCTCCCAGGTGTCGCTAATGCAACCGCATCCAGGTCTTCATCCTCATTTCCTCCTCTTCCTCTCTTGTCTTATCTTCTTCCTCTTCCTCTCTTCAGCATCATCTCCTCCCCTTCATCTCTTCAGCATCATCTCCCTCCTCTTCATCTCTTCATTGTCGTCTAAGTGGAGTCAGGAGTCAGAGGTTGTCACAGGGACACTGTTGCTAGTACTATGGAGAAGATCCCCACTCGTGGTGACCCCATGTGGTACAGAATGGAACTGCTCTATAGGGTTTCTTGACTGGCATCTTTTTTTTTTTTTAATGTTTTATTGTGAATTATGTGATAGTTTACATGGAAGAACTTTACATTCATCCTATCGTATATCGTTTCATTGCCATGGTTACAATCCCTTCCATGCATCATCAATCAACCAAATGGTACACCTCACAAGGCTGCCCCCTGGTCATCAGCACATAGTCCCTCTCCTTCTCCCTCTCCACATCCATCTCTCCATGTCATCGTCTCTGCCTCTATCTGTGGCTTGACTGGCATCTTTAGGGAAGGAGATCACCAGGTCTTTCTTCTGCAGTTCTGATGGGCAGGTTCAAACCACCAACCTTTTGGTTTATAGTTACCATCTGAGTGCTTAATCATTTCCTCCACAGGGCTCCTTTTTGGGAATTTAGCTTACCTTTTCTGCCCTTGTATTTTAGCACCCTGAACTTAGTATTATGAACCTGTTTCCAAAGACAAAGGCCTGAAATTTTAGAAAGTGCAACTTGAGTAATGGCTCTGCTTTGCTTCTCCTAGCTGTGTAACTCTGGACAAGATGCCACCCTTCTCTGAGCCAGAAGTGCTTCCCTTAGGTGATTTCTGCTCAGAGATTCCAGGGCTCCAGTCTCTGGATGGAGTAGGTTTTATGCACAGATACGCTTTCTTCCAATGGAGAGTATCTATATTCTGGGACCAGAAGTACATGGTCCCACATTGCTCACAGGAAAACATTTTGCAAAAGCGTTCACAGACTCTCCGAACCTAGTTATAACTTTCACTTAGCAAGTTGACCTTCAAGACACCTCTTCCAGGAAGCTTCTCCAACCCTCATCCCAGGTCCCTACCATCCCAATGTCCCCCATACCCTGTGGTCCTCAAAGAGGTTCTCATCTTCTGCCCTGCCCGTCCTCTCATGGAGGACAAGATCTAGGCTGTTTTCTGCAGACCCCTGGCACAGAGTGGGTGTCAGCAAATATTTCCAAGAAGAGCTGAGAAGTAGCTCCTGGCACTGGAGCGGAGGTGGCCCAAACTTATTTCATGGGGCAATGCCCATTACATTCTGAGTGGGCTCAGAACCTGGCTGCCTTAGATGTAAAATCATTTTCTTCCCCAGTGTGGGTGGGTGAATAATTGGGAAGATGTGAGGTTGTCTGTAAGTATTTTGCTGGGGTTGGGCTGAAACTAGAATGGACTAAGACTGAGTTGGACTGAAATAGGGTTGGGGTAGAGTTGGGCTGGGGTGGGACTGGGCTGGGCTAAACTGGGCTGAGTCAGCCTTTGGCTGGGGTGTGCTGTGTTGGGCTGTGCTAGGGTTAGGGCTGATACTGGGCTGGGCTGGGCTGGGCTGGGTTTGGCTGGGACTGGAATGGGCTGGTCTGAACTGTGCTGTGGCTATGCTAGGCTGGGCATGGGGCTGGACTGGGCTGGTGGGGAAGGACATTCAAGGACATAACATCAAGAGGTCTTTTCTTTTCTTTTTTCTTTCTGACCTGCTGTCTGATCCAGCTGGAGCAGAGTGAAGCCAAGTGTGAAGATGCCTTGAAGACCCAGAAGGCGCTGACTGCAGACCTGGAGACCATGCACAGTGAATTGGAGAGCATGACCCGGAACAAGAGCCTGGTATCTGCCCCTCCCTGCAGACATGGGCCTCTGGGAGCTATGATGGGGATGGGTCTACTGTGTGTGCCACGCTCAGAAACACGGAGGTGCAGCCATTCACCATCGGCCTTCTTGGTGTTGTTGCCATTGAGTTGGTTCCAACTCATAGCTACCCTATGTAGGGTTTCTGAGGAATGGCTGGTAGATTTGAACCACTGACCTTGTGATTAGCAATCCAGTGCTTATCCTGCAGTATCATAGCAGGACTCCAGACCTACTGGGTGCTTAGCACTAAATAAGAACAAGGGGACCAACTGTGTGCTCAACTCTAGGGGGTACCAACATTCTACTGTGAACTGAGCACTGTAAGGGGAAAGGGACCAACAGTGTATTAGTTGGATACCTACTGTATGTGGGCACGCAGCACCCTAGATGAGCCTACTGTTTTCTCAGTATGCTAAGGGGGACCACAACTCTCTGTTGTATACCTCAACTATATACATACTCACTAATGAGTGTTTCTCAGACATCTGTAGTCCTAGTGTGCATTACTGCTGTCCCACTCTACACCCTTCCTGTAAGTAGACACAAGAGCATCTCTCCTGGGCTCACATATGCTTACTGTGGAGGCCTGGTGTAATGCTGCACTTCACCACAAGGTCAGATTGAACCACAAGGTCAGCAGTTCAAACTCACCAGCCACTTCTTGGAAATCCTCTCTACAGGGTCGCTATGGGTCTGAACGGACTCAATGGCACTTATCAACAACAATGAGATGACTCACCTTTTATTATGGACCTAGTTCAGGGTCAGCAGTTTGAAACTACCAGCTGTTCCGCGGGAGAAAGATTAGCGTTCTGCTCCCGTAAAGATTTACAGCCTCGGAAACCCTGTATAGGGTCGCTATGAGTCGGAATCGACTCCACGGCACACAACAACAACAACAACAACAACAACAACAGTATCTGCTCACCACTGAAGGGGACATGGTCATTAAGAGTAGACTTTCCCGCAACAGGGAAAGGAGAAACTAACATATATCATGGATTTATTATGAAGAGTACCTTGGAGTCCTTGTGTGGCACTGTGGGTTAATGCGCTGGACTGCAAACTCAGTTTGAATGGCAAGGATGGTTCAAGCTTACTAGCCACTCCTTGAAAACCCTATACACGGTCACTGTGAGTTGGAACTGTCTCTACAGCACTTAACAACAATAATTATAGAGTCTCAGAGTCCTGGTGTGGTGCCATAGGATAAACATTTGACCATAAGGTTGGTTTGAACTGCAAGGTCGGTGGTTCAAACTCACCAGCCACTCCTCAAAAACCCTATACAGGATAACTATGAGTCAGAACCGACTTGATGGCACTTAACAACAACAACATTATGAAATCCTGGTATGGTGCTGTAAGATAAGCACTGGACTGCTAACTGTAAGGTCAGCAGTTCCAATCTACCAGCTACTCCTTAAAAATCCTACACAGGGTCACTATGAGTTGGAACCGACTAGATGGCACTTTACGACAACAATTATACTGTTGACAATCGTGGGTGAGTTTCTAGTTCCTTGTCTGGGTACTGAGTTTGGAGGGTTGACCTAAATTTGGACCTGACATGTTCAAAATCTTAAAGTTTACCTGACACTAGAGGTTTGTGAGGAAAAAGATTGAAGACTGCAATTGGCCATTTTGTCCCATGTTTTGTTTGCAGTAAATTCAGAAGAAGATGGCCACAAGCATGCACACTCACACACGAAACCACCAGTCACACACACAAAACCAGCACCCTCCTACATCACATATGATGAGCGGCAAACCACAATGTTGGTGGTTCAAGCCTAGCAGCTCTGTTGGAGCAAGATGAAGTTTTTCTGCTCTTGTGAAGAATTCCAGCCTTGGAAATCCTATACAGGCTGGCTATAAGTCAGAACCGACTCCACAGCGCTTAATACCAACACCAACAGCATCAAATATAGTCTTGGAATGGTGCTGTGGGATTAGCACTAAACTGCTAACTGCAAGTTCGATCCCACTAGCTTCTCCTCAGAAACCCTGCACAGGGTGACTATGAGTGGGAGCTGACTTGATGACACTTAACAACAACATAAAATATGCATCCATATATTGAGCGCCTGCTATGTGCTAGGGATATACCTATGAACAAAGTGCTGGGTCACTGGGACACACCAGGGGCTTCCACTCACATATACAAGGGGTCTTCGAAACATTCACGGAAAGATTGAAAAGATAATGGAGTACTTATATGAGCTTTTTTGAAGCCCCCTTGTATCAGCCATGCACATTTACAAATACACCTACAGATATTCCCAGGCGGAGTCTTGGTGTAGCTCTGTCAGGTAAACACTGAACTGCTAACCTCAAGGTTGGTGGTTCAAACCCACCTGTCACTTTTTGGAAATCCTATACTGGGTTGCTATGAGTCAGAACCTACTTGAAGGCACTTAATAATTCCTAGGTGGGCTTACACAGACATACACCCATTCATGTACATACACGCTGCATTCATGTAGCCACATGTGAGCCTGGTATAGACACATGTGTAGACACACACAACCATCATACACAAACATGCAGCTCTCCTCTTACCATGAACATTCTTACGCACATACCCACAGCATACATTGGCACAACTATGACCATGATCAAAGCAATGACTACCCACCTGGCAAGTCCCTCTCTCCTCTTCATCAAGCCCCTGCTGCCCCACTCACCCTTCAACCTCACCCACTCCCATTGTCCTGCCTCCCACCAGGTGGATGAGCAGCTATACCAGCTGCAGTTTGAGAGGGCAGACCTCCTGAAGCGCATTGACGAGGACCAGGATGACCTGAATGAGCTCATGCAGAAGCACAAGGACCTCATTGCCCAGGTAACAGTCTGATGTGGGAGAAGGCTAGGGTCCTTGGACTAGAGGGGGGAGGAATGTTGAGAAGGTGGAACAATTGAGCTGATTCCTAGTCTTAGGTCCTTGGAGAGATACATGTCACAGAGATCAGTGTGAACTGTATAAGTTTATGTGGCCCTAAGAGAGAGAGAAAGAGAGGAAGACCCCTCAGTGAGATGGATTGGCAAAGTGGCAGCATCAATGGGTTCAAGCGTGGCAGTAATAATGAGTTTGGCCCAAGATCAGGCAGTGTTTCATTCTGCTGTGTATAAGGTTGCTATGAGTCAGTACCGACTCAATGGCACCTAACAACAACAACAACTGAGGAGAATGTCACCTTTAGATGGTGTGTGATCTCTGGAGGACATCTCCACCAAGCAAGGTTTTGATTTATTCATACGTCTATCTACCCGTCCACCCATCCTTATATTTACCCACCCACCATCCATCTACTCCTCTATTCATTCATCAACCCATCTTTCCATCCACCTATGCATCCCTCATCTATTCATCCTCCCACCCACTTGTAATCCATACATACATACATACATACACTCATCTACCTATCCATCTATCCATCCATATATTCATCCTTTTACCCATTTACCCATCGATCCATTTTTCCACCTGTACAGCTACTGCTCCATCAACCTGATTATGTATTTAATATTCATGGGGCACCCACTATGTGCTGCATACTGTGAGAAATGTTGAAGAGACTGTTGGAGCAAAAGCATGTCCTCTTGCTACCTTTCTAGAGGTCATGGTTAATGCACTGGGCAGACTTTACCGCACAGTCAAGCTGAGTTGAGCAGATGCTCCAACTGAGCTGAGTACAGAAAGAGAATAAGCATGGGTCACTGAAGCCTGACCTAGGTCAATGGTCACATAAGACTTCCCTGAACAGGTGGCACTTTTAAGAAAGTGAATGAGAATCAGGTGTTCATTAGATTGGCGTCAAACAGCAGAAGCAGAAGGAACATCACATGCAATGGGCCTATGATGAGGTGTTTGAGAGGCTGATCGGAGTTAGTGTGGGGAATGTGGCACGAATTGAGCTCAGCGAGGCTTCCAGAGGAGGGCCAGATCAGACTTCTGGGGCTGTGACAAGTTAGGTTCTTGTTTTATGAGTGATGGGAAACATGGTGAGCTATCTACAAAGAGTGAGAACAGGAGTAGATGACCAACCAGATAGGGAGCTCATGAGGGCAGAGTATTCCATCTGGTGATGTCCATGGCCTTTTATGTTGTTTAAAAAAGGTATTTGCAATGAGTACACATGCCCATTGGTCTTGCAAAATTCTATGATGTGATCTTCAGTATCATTTTTATCACCAAGGCCAAAATTTCCAACTACTGCTCCTTCATCTTTGTGTCCAACCTTTGTATTCCAATCACCAGTAATTATCAATACATCTTGATTACATGGTTGATCAATTTCAGACTGAAGAAGTTGGTAGAATTCTTCAGTTTCATCATCACTGGCTTTAGTGGTTGGTGCATATATTTGAACAATAGTGGTATTAACTGGTCTTCCTTGTAGGCATATTGATAATATCCTATCAGAGACATTGTTGTACTTCAAGATAGATCTTGAAATGTTCTCTTTGATGATGAATGCTATGTCACTCCTCTTCAATTTCTCACTCCTGGCATAGTAAACCATGTAACTGTCAGATTCAAAATGGTCAATACCAGTTCATTTCAGCTCACTAATGCCTAAGCAGGAGTCCTCGTGTGGTGCTGTAAGATAAGCACTCGACCATAAGGTCAGTTTGAACCACAAGATCTGTGGTTCAAACTCACCAGTCACTCCTTAGAAATCCTATACAGGATCACTATGGGTCAGAACCAACTTGATGGCATACCACTACCACAATGCCTAGGTTATTAATCTTTATGTGCTCCATTTCATTTTTGACAACTTCAAGTTTTCCTAGATTCATACTTCATAATTCCATGTTTGCAGCTGACTCTCTTCATTTTGAGCTGTTTCCCATCAGCAAACGACGGTCCTGAAAGCTTTACTCCATTTGCGTCATCATGGTCAACTCTACTTTGAGGAGGCAGCTTTTACCCAGTCGTATTTTGAATGCCTTCCAACCTAAGACGCTCATTACCTGGCACTATATCTGATAATATTCTGATGTCATTCATAATATTTTAATCTTCTGGCACTATATTTGACAATGTTCTGCTGTTATTCCGAAGGTTTTTAGTGGCTAAACATTCAGAAGTAGTCCATCTCGTCTTCTTCCTAGTTTTAGTTTGAACGCTCAGCTGAAACCTTCCCACCGTAAGTGACACTGATGGTATTTAAACACCAGTCGCCTAGCTTCCGGCATCACAGAAACACTCAAGCCACCACAGTGCAACCAACTGACAGACCAGTAATTATCAATATATCTTGATTACATGGTGTTTTGTTGTTTTTTTTTTCCATTATACTCAGGTTTTTTTGGCTACATCATTATAAAACATACACGATAGACAGATCCTATAAATGGCTACACCAATACCTAATATGATATAGCACTTGATAGCTTACAAATCACCTTTGAAATCATTATCTACCTAACTCTAATCACTCTCAAGTAGGTTATTACATTTAAAATTCATAACATCTTTAAATGAGGATTAAAAGGGTTAAAGTGATTTGCTCCAGATACATTTGTTCAAATTTTGTTGACTTTCTATATCGTAAGTTAAATATAAAATTAAAGTGAATAGATATTCACATTTAGATAACAGAAAAAAAAAAAATGATGAATCCCATCTCCAGTGGTTCACATACATCTTGAAACAAAGATACAAATTTAAAAATTAATCCTGTAATTTATATTCTCAGTCATTAGCTATCTTTCCTTTTCAAATATTTACAACTAAACAGTGGTGTTTCTGCTACTTAAAACTATAGTTCTTTCAAAGTGTATAGCATGGCAGTTTTTACCTATAAACTTGGCAATTTATTTTGGGGGAACATTCTTCTCGGTACTTAAACCTCCCCTGTGTGTACAAATCTTTGGGTTGTATTTGACAATACTTGCTGTGCCATTTTAATTTTGTTTATAACTAGAGGCCTGGACATTATATATAAAAACAAACATAAGGATCTGGTAGGTGGGGAGAAGGCCTAAAACTGTATTAGGTCTATGGCACAACTTTCAGCCAAACAATAGACAGGTCTACGTAGGGATCTCCACACACCTTACAATAATCAACCACTTGAGATCAAAAGGGCAGCATTTACTCAAGGACAAAGCTCTGAAGGCAAAAGCCTTAGGAAAGAAGGAGGGCTGGAAACAGGTAACACATGGAGGGGGTGGGATGAATGATGTTACACCGTGGAGATGGTAATCAATGAGAGGCAACAAAAGGTGTATGAATTGTTGAATGGAAAACCGAGCTGCTCTGTAAACCTTCACCTGGTTCAAAAGAAAAAGTTACAAAAATCAACTATATCATCTACATTAAAAAAACAAGTCCCAAAATAGCCTGTGTCAACATCTCCATTTCTGAAGTTCACTATTTTTGTTCAAAATGGAAGTTTCTTTATTTGCCTCATTACAAAATTAACAGATATGTGAATAATAAATATACATGGAGAATAGAAAGTGAGGGCTCCGCTCCCCTCTTAGATTCTTACTTCAGAGATTATCACACGTCATCATTTCATTCTACATTTTTATTTTAAAAGGAACTTTACTCTCTACTGGCTCTTTCAATTTCTGAAGAAATTCTATACAGAAGGGCTAAAGAGCAATGATCAGCCCATTTGATAGGTGGGGATACTGAGGTGCAGAAAGGTTTTGTGGCTTGGCAAGGCCAATAGCTAGTTCTACAATCCCAGTTACTGGCCATTCAGAATAGTTATCTCTCCACGGAATTGGATCACCTATTTCTGTATGGGTTGAATAATAATGTATGGAACAATTAGAAAAAGTCATAAGCACAAGGACAAGTGGCTCAGTGAATGTTGGAATGAAGGATGTTGGCGGGGAGGGGATAACTTTTGAAGGCCAGCTATTGTCTTATAGGAAGAAAGTCCTAGAAATCCACTTCTGAAATATCAGCTGGTAAAAACCCTATGGATCCCAACAGTCATACCACATCGTGGTTGGGGTCACCATGAGTTAGGGAGCTGACTTGCTAGTAGCTAACAACAACAATAGCATTGTGGTACAAACTCTATAGTGGTGGTTATATGCCATGGAGTTGGTTCCGACTCATAGCAACCCTGTACAGGGTTTCCAAGGCTGTAAATCTTTAGGGGAGCAGAAAGCCTCATCTTTCTCCCATGGAACAGTTGGTAGTTTCAAACTGCTGACCTTGAGGTTTGCAGCCTGATTCGTATAGGACTTCGGTATTGTGGGTTAGGGAAGAGGGGAACTCTGGGTATGGTTTCCCATCAAATTCCTAGTCTTAGGATGTCATATATATTTATATGGAGATATAATTTTTTTCTTTTTGTCTCATCAGTCTGCTGCTGACATTGGTCAGATCCAAGAAATGCAGTTGCAGTTGGAGGAAGCTAACAAAGAAAAGCACAAGCTTCAAGAACAAGTAGGTGCTCCAAGCTGCCGTTGCTGTTACCATATTGTAGCAGGGAAGGCAGAAAGGATCCCTTCTTGGCCCTCACATTTTGGTTCTTGGAAACTTTCATCAGTCACTCACATTCATTCACTGAACACTTATGCAACTCTAGTTGGGTGCCAAATGAGTCAAGAACAATCCCAGTATGCACACACACACGTATATATACACACACACCACATGCCTGCTCAGCATCCAAAGATACCCTAAGGAATGGGACCCATAAGCCAGACACTGCAGGATTTTCCCCTTTTGAGAAAATAGGTTCAAGAAAAAACAGGATATTCGCCCTTTGTGAAGTCTTTCTTTGAAGTCATGGGACCTTCAAACACTTCTGCCTTGACCCTCATGACCCAGTGGGTTGCTATTATCCACGACATTGTCAGAGTTCATTGAGAGCCATTGTATATATCTGCTTAGAGTTACTGAGTGAGCAACCAGGTCTCCAAAAGGAAATGTCCTGAATAACAGCAGCACAACAACAAAGATGTAACAGCAGCAGTTGCCAGCTGTTAGGTGCTCAGTATGTGCCAAGGAGCTCAGGTGGTGCCACAGTTAAGCTGTTTGGCTCTAAACCAAGGGTGGGTGGTTCAAACTCACCCAGTGAGAGAAAGACCTGCCAATGAGCTCCCATTAAGTTATAGGCTAGAAAACCCAATGGGGCAGTTGCTATGAGTCCAAATGGACTTGATGGCCCTGATAATGACTCTATTATGTCTCAATCACTCATCTCATTCAATCCTTAGAACAAAAAAGAAGACATAGAGACTCAGGGAGGGGAGCTGGCTTGCTGGAAAGTGCTAGAGCCAATGTGTGAAGCCTGATACATGCTCTTGTCCCCTAGACCCACTGTTGACTCTGTCTCTTGATGTTGAAGTTTGCTGCTTGCATACTGACATTGCTCTTTAGTACTTTTTGGCAAGAGGGGAAGAGGAGCACTGGTTGAAAGTCCTGCTTTGGAAACTGAAGGCATAGGAAGCCTTGCTTCCTAGCAATTGAGAGCCAGGGGCAGGCGTTGGTGTGAGGGTCTAACCAGACCCTCAAATGGGAGCCCAGCAGTGCTTGCTGTGTGGACATCCAACATGCAGTACCTGAGCAGAGAAAGAGGGGTGTACCTGGGTCCAGGGCTGAGTTCCGGGATCCAGGACCAACAAGTGGCTAATGGCTCTCTTGGGTTTACCTCCAGTTGCAGGTGGCTCAGATGCACATCGAGTACCTAGAGCAATCCACGGTGGAGAGAGCCATCGTCAGCAGGCAAGAGGCAATCATCTGTGATCTAGAGAATAAGACGGAGTTCCAGAAAGTGCAGATCAAGAGATTGGAGGTACTTATTGACATGCAAAAGGAGCCTGGTGTTGCAATAGAAAAGCACTTGGTTGCTAACCTAAAGGTCAAAGGTGTTAATACACCCTGATCTGCTGCCATAAAGATGGCAGCCTATTGAACCCCATGGGACGGTTCTCTGTCATATGTGGTCACTATGAATTGCAATCGACTGGACAGCACCTAGCAATGACAACAATCTCTAAATCTCAGATGAAGAGCAGTGAGGACTTTCTATGTACTCATATGTCTTTTTCTAGATAAACATTACTCACCCATTTCCCTCCTTCCTCTTTTCCTTTACTCCATGTGCCCTTCCTTCCTTTCTGACCATACCAGCTCACAAGTCACCTATTCATCTACCTGTCCATCTCCTTCTACCGATTTCTATGTATTCATCTCTATCCACCATCATTGCTGCATTCATCCATCCACCCTCCCCTTTCCATTTGTCCCTCCATTCCCTTTCCTTCTTTCTTCTGTTCCTTTTTTTCTCAACTCTCAACCCCTGTCTGCCTGTGAGTTTATCCATTGACCCCTTCTTTCTACTCCTTCCATCCACTCATCCAATTACAAACTCAGTACTCATCTTGAACAGAAATATGTCAAGCGCTTAGTATTTGCCTTGTTCCTCACTCTGTCTCCCAATCTCCCAGTGGGCATCTGGCTTCTCCAACAAGGTTGCTAAGGATGAAGAACAGAAGAAAAATCCTCTTTACCTTAACCCCAGGAATTCTTGAATCTGCTCATGGGATCCATAAGGCATGATTGTCTTTGCTAATCACTATGAAACTTTAATGCACTACTTTTTAAATCATTAAGCAGAGACTGTTGGGCTGTATCATATGTTGGTTTTTACCTATCCTATTTATTGGTTTATTGAAGACTATTCTGTTGTGTTTTTGATGAAATTTTGCATAGTAAATTAGATTTCCACTTGACAATTTCTATGCAAACTGTTTGGTGACAGTGATAATTTTTACAGTGTGTCAACAGGCATTCTCTTTAATGGTGTTTTGGTTGTGCCATCTTCAGTTCTCCTTTTTGTCTTTTCATTTTTGCTTTAGAGTCATTGTTGACCTCTGGTCTCACATAGACTCTGTTTTACTTGCCTGGCAAACAGATGTATCAAGCAGATCCTGGTTTCTAGAAGCATGTAACTTTGTAGAAGTGGTAAAGCTAGTACATAAATACTCATAAAGTGGAGAGAAGCCTGTAGGGTGTGGAAAATAGAAGTTCTTACAGCTGTGGAATCAAACAGCCTTCCAGGAAGAGGTAGCATGGATCTTGAAGGATGGCTGAGTCTTGATCAATGATATATTCACATCACCTTTGTGTTGGGAGCCAAGAAGGTGTCTGAATCACAGGAAGGTGTCTGAAGCTCTGTGGCCAGTGACATGGAGCATTTGCAGAGGACATCTCAGTCATCAGAGCACTTTCCCATCCTCCACTCCAACTTATGTTTGCCACAACTGTGTGGGTCATGCAGTCTAGGTGCCATTTGATGAATGAAAAGATAACACTAGAGAGTTGTTGTTGTTGTTGTTATGTGCTGTGGAGTTGGTTCTGACTCGTAGGGACCCTGTACAAGGTTTCTGAGGCTGTAAATCTTTATGAGAGCAGAAAACCTCATCTTTCTCCCGTGGAACAGCTGGTAGTTTCGAACCGCTGATCTTGCGGTTCTCAGCCTGATCCGTAACCACTATGCTACCAGAGACACATGTTAATTTGGGTGATGGGAAAGGCAATTTACAGCAAGAGGGAGGTTGGCAGAGGAAAGATAAAGATAGTGGAAGGCACAGCACAGGAAGGAGTGCAAGAGTTAAAGAGAATAGAGTAACTGATGATACTTGGAGGGGATTGCAATTATCGTAGAGACACAAAGTGTATGAATTATTGAATGTGGGTCTGATGATCTGTTCTGTAAACCTTCACTCAGTTCACAATAAAAGGAAACTTAAAAAACAACAACAACAACAACAACAACAAACAGCTAAAGAATTCTCTCCTGGTGCTTAGGTTTCTGACTCCAAGGAGGGTATGTGCTCTTTGCCCTCTCCCTCAGGTGCTGGTGATCCGGCTCCGGGACAGTCTGATCAAGATGGGCCAGGAGCTGTCTCAGGCAGCAGCCTCGGAGTCCCAGCAGCGGGAGAGCAGCCAGTATTACCAGCGGCGCCTGGAGGAACTGAAAGTGGACATGGAGGAGCTGATGCAACGGGAGGCAGAAGCGAGCCGGCGCTGCATGGAGCTGGTGAGTCCTGGGGCCTGCCAGAGGCCATGGTTATCCTGGGCACTGGCTACTAGCTAGTGAGGGTCTTGGGTGAGGGAGAGCCCTCCTTTCCTCAGTCAAGGATTTGAAGTCTTCTGCATGGGAGGTGAATGGACCTCTCTCCCAGGGTTTGAAAAAGATATATGGAGAAGCCAGAGGAGCACAGTGGCACAGTAGATTACATGTCGGACTGCTCATTGCAAGGTTGGCAGTTCAAACCCACTGTTGGGAGAAAGAAGAGGCTGTCTGTTTCTGTAAAGACTGACAGTCTCGGAAACCCTAGGGAGCAGCTCTATTCTACCCTGCAGGGATACTGTGAGTGGGAATCTGCTCTTGGCAGAGGTGGGAAGAAGTCTGATGGGGCTAGGCTGAGATATAACCTCTCATTGGCTGCAAGTCCAGGGGGCAGCCCCACAGTGGACCAATGACCTTCATTATTGCATAGTCTACAACTGCAAACTTTCCTTCCTGTCTCATACATTCCACTCCTAGAAAGAGGAGAAAATTGGTGCTTGTTGCATGTCTACCTTGTGCCAGGTCTCCTATAATCCTTATAACAACCCCATCAAGTCAGAATTACTATCCCCATTTTACAGATGAGGAAACTGAGGTTTCCAGAAGAGAAGTCAATTAAGGAAACCTCTAATTAACTTTGTGTGTGTCTGGGGTGGGAGAGGGAGGTCACTATTCACAACAACACCAAAACACAATAAGTGATGATGATAAAGTCACCTTTTATGAAGCACTTGCTCTATTCCAGGTTCTGGGTTAGGTATTTCTCATTTAAACGTGAAGTCGTCTTATTTCCATTCTATAGATGGGCAAACTAAGGCATGGAGCATCCATTTTTCCCAACTCGAGGCACAGTGGTACATTCTCTGGCTTAAGATCACCAGCTCGTAAGAATCTGAACCCAGGGCTGTCCAGCTCCAGAGTCTGTTCTTTTAGCCGCTAAACCATATTTTGCCTGGCAGGGGACCCAAGGCACAATTTAAGTTGATTTTCTTCCAGTGGATGGTGTCAGTGTATTTTTCTGAGAACAGTTTCCTGCAAGGGTCTCAGAGAGAGAGCTATACCGCATGAGCCCAGAAGCCCAAAGACTCCAGATACGGAAGTCTATAGCCCCTTGCCCAGTACCATACATAGAGCCCTCCCTGAGACTGCCCACAGTGTGCAGAGGGTTGGCCCAGATACCACTGCCTTCAAGTACATTCCAATTTACAGTGACCCTATAGGATAATGCAGAACTGCCCCCATAGGGTTTCCAAGACTGTAAATCTTAATGGGATCAGACTGCCTCATCTTCCTCTCTCAGAGCAGCTGGTGGGTCCAAACCACCAACCTTTCAGTTAGCAGACAAGTGCTTAACCACAGTGCCATCAGAACTTCTTCTAAAAGGATTTTAAAAATCCATTCTCATTGAGTCGCTTCTGAATCATAGTGACCTCATAACACAGAGTAGAACTGCCCCAGAGCATTTCTGTCCGTCTTTATGGGAACAGACTGCCTCATCTTTCTCCTGCAGAGCTGCAGGTGAGCTCAAACTGTCTGCTCTTTCTGTTTGTAACAAGTGCTCTAACAACTGCACCAACAGAACTTGGCCCAGAGGTCTCTAAATGCCAGTCACTCTCTGCTTCCCACCTTGGCCCACTCTGGCTTTGTAACAGGTCTCAACAGCTTAAATATATTCCTCAGGTTGCTGCCTCCCATGGCCTGTGTCATTGCCATTAGATCTGGCACTGCACAGGCAGACAGTCTGTTTGGGGGCTAGGAGTGGCAGGTACACCATGCAGGGCTTGAGGTTCCCAGACCAGGTCCAGGCTCCCAGACTGGCAGGTCCTCCACCCTTATAGCTTAGAGAGACAGGCTCTTTTCTCCATTTGACAGGACCACTGCCCTATTCACCAGCTTAGTTTCTTAGCCAGGCATTCCCATCCTGTACTCCCTGCCTTCCCTCAAGTGTCTGCCCCACCCTCTCTAATGGGGCAAGCATGCAGACATTCCAGTCTTGTCTGCTAATTGAAAGGTTGGTGGCTGGGACCCACACCAGCTGCTCCAAGGGCAGAAGATGAGACAGTTTGCTTCCATAAAGATTGACAGTCACCAAAACCCTATGGACAGTTCTACTTTATCCTATAGGGTCACTATGATTGGAATTGACTTGAAGGTAGACCGGGGTATCCTGCCTCTTTTCCTTGCTATCCCATCCTCTCCTCTGTCTTTCTTCTCTTTCTCTTCCTCCTATTTTGTCTCATTCTCCTTTACCTACCCACATTTTCAGGACCAGATGGACACCTTTATAAAGAGCCCGAAATACAAAATAGATGATGGTTTAGAAGGTCTTCAATAGAGTAGGGGACAATGTGGAACAAAATTCCAAAGCATAAAGGAGACCAGTCTTACTGGTCAGATAGAGATGGGTGGAGCTCAGAGACAATGGCTCTTAGTCACTTACCCTCAGGTCTGGAACTGAACCTACCCCATAACTCAATCTTCAGTCAAGAAATAGCTAAGTGTAGAGGGGAGACACCACCACCAGAGAGTTATGCTCACCATAAAATAGTCAACTATTCATAATCAAAAGGGCAGTATTGGCCCAAGGACAATGTTCAGATGGGTTGGGAAAGAAGGAGGAATGGAAGGAAGTAAGAGTCACAGGGAGGAAGTGGGATGAGTGATGTTACTCAGTGGGGATTGTAATCATTGAGATGAAATGGAGTATATGATTTGTCGAACGTAAAACTAATGATCTTCTCAAAAACCTTCACTCAATTCACAATAAAAAATTAATAAATAATTTTTTTAAAGATGGCAGTGCAACCTGCAATATATAGATGAAAATGAAAGTGAATGCAAAATCATAAAACACAAAGCTTGCATGCATGATGAAAATTAAAGCTGCCTCAGTCTCTGTGTTCTGGTTGTACCATTCAGAATAGTGTTTCAAGGCTGTTTTAGTGGTTGTAATGTATTTGTGGTTGGGAGGGAAGGGTGTGTTACCACTTGATTGGTGTTCTAAGAGTGAGTGTTGCCTACCTGTTGGGTGACCCAATGCCACTTAATTGGGATAAGCATGGCACAACAGGACAGTGTTAGACTAGCAGTCCCTTCCTAATTGGTGGATGCCCAAACTCAGCAGCCTATCCATGCCTTTTCTGATGTGTGGTTAAGTGCCCTCGAGTCAGTTTCCATTCACACTGACCCGATGCACAACAGAAGGAATCTTTGCTCCGTCCTGTGCCATCTTCACAATTGCTATGTTTGAGCCCATGATCGCTGACCCTCTACTTTGCCAAGCGTGATATCCTTCTCCAGGTATTGGCCTTTCCTGACAATATGACCAAAGTATGTGAAATGAAGTCTCACCACCTTTGCTTGAAAGGAGCATTCTGGCCGAACTTCCCCCATCAGAGATTATTTCATTTTTCTGAAAGCCCATGGTACTTTTCAATATTCTTCACCAGCATCATCATTCAAAATCATCAATTCTCTGACCTTCTTTGTTCATTGTCCAGCTTTCACATGCATATGAGGCGATTTAAAATGCTCAATCAGGCACACCTTAGTCCTCAAGGTGACATCTTTGTTCTTTAACACTTTAAAGGGATCTTTTGCAGCAGATTTTCCCAATGCATTATATCATTTGATTTCATGACTATTGCTTCCAATGGACATTAATGTGGAGCCAAATAAGATGAAATCCTTGACCATTTCAATTTTTCTCCATTTATTATGATGTTGTTTATTGTCTACGGTTGCTGTTGGCCCCAGGGAAATTTCCATTAGAAGGAGTACAAAAGCCATATGTTCATGCGAGGGAGCTTCAAAAAGTGTATGGGAAAATTCCATCATCTTTTCATCCCATTTTTCTATGAACTTTTGAAGCCTCCTTGTGTATCGCTCATTTAGTGACTTATTCATCTCACACCTATCTGTGGAGTACTGAGTGACACAGGGATGGGCCTTGGTAGGAAGGACAATGAAGGGCAGAACACAAGCTCCATGTAAGAGGTCAGTGAGCCCTGTCGTGGTGAAATGAGCCCTACGATTCAGCCCCAGTTCCCATCCCCATTGACCTGGCCCCCTGGTAGTTCCCAAGTTTCCCTGGAGAGGTTATGTCAACTGTTGAAGTCCAAGTCACCATTTTGCCTTCCTACATCCCACCCCAGTAAGACAACGGGGCATTCAGAGGGGGCCTTCAGCATCCTACATTCTTTCTAAACATCGCTCAAATCCTGCAAGGTCATCAGGGCTCTGCTTCACTCATTCATTCACTACCTAGCCGTGCTTCTCACTATGGGCTGAGCTCCATGCTGGATGCTGGGACTCAGTGGGGGAAAAAGACTTGCCCTAGCCTTCTAAGAATGCCCACTGCATGGGGAGATAATGTTAAGGTCATCGCTAGTGTATTTCATAGAGTTCCTCTGTCAGGCAAGCTCAGAGTAATCACTGGCAAAGCAAAGGGTTTGGAGGATTCTTCGGAGGGCAGACCAATCAATACAAAACCAAACCATCTACTGTCAAGTCGATTTTGACTCAGGGCAATCCACTGTGTAATAGAGTAGATACTCCATAGGGCTTTTTCCTGGCTGTGAGCTTTTCAGAAGCATGTCTCCAGGCCTTTCTTTCATGGCTCCACTGTTTGTGTTCAGACTGGGTGGCTTCAGGTTAGCCTGTGAGTGCAAACTGCTTGTGTCACCCAGGAATCTATCTTAGAAGGCCATTTGGCACCCAAAATTCTCTCTGATGCCCAGCATCTCCCCCATCAAATGACTCCTTTGAGTCAAATTCCTTTTTTATTTTTAAAATGCAATTTTCCCTGGACTGAAGAGAATGAACTTCCTAACTTCACAGGCCAAGTGTCCATTTGTGCCTCTATCCATCCATCTATCCATCCACCAACAAACCCTGAGTCATCACACGCTCAGGTGCTTTGCATAGTTGTCTTCTTCAACACCTACATCAACTCCAGAAGGTAGGCA